GAGCTGGAGAAGAGAGGCAAAGGTGAAAGATGGAACTGGAGGAGGTAGAGGAATATGGAGCTGGAGAAGAGAGCAGGATTGAGCTGTATGGGAGAGGGAGATGGAGGAAGATTAAGCTGCAGGGGAGGAAGGGAGAGTAAGATGGAGGTGGAGGAGAGAGGGAGATGGAACTGGAGGTCACAGAGTAAAAGATGGAAAAGAGAGAGGGGGAGATGGAGCTGGAGACTAGAGAGAGAGAGGGGGAACTGGAGGTGAGAGAGGGAGGGAGATGGAGGGGAGATGAAGGTGGAGCTGGTGGGGAGAATAGGAGCTAGGAGGGGAGACGGGGGAAGATGGAGTTGGAGGGGGAGAGAGAGTGAGCTGGAGAGGAGATGGAGCTGGAACTGAAGTAATATCTGCAATACTGAAGCAATGCATTAAAGGGCTGGTTATACTTTTTTTTTTTTTTACTGGGCTGCTTTTTATTCTCTGTCTGGCCCTGCCTGTCTTGCAAATATTTTTCATTGAGCTGCATTGGGAAGTCTGTGATTGGACAGACACAGAAAGGCTGGGCGGGGTTAGATGGGGAAGGCTTGTAAAGGCTACAGACAAGAGATCTGCAGCTTTTGCAAGCTGTTCTTAGATAAACCCCCAATGGAAAAAAATACATAATTAAAGGCATACTTGTTTTCACTGGAGGTATATCTGCTCTATAGCAATTTTTATTATATTTTTGGAGTGCCCATTTAAGGAATTGTTCCAATGATTTAAGTATGTCATTTTGATTGATTATTCGAAATGTGTAGCTTCGATTCAGTCACATAACTATTCATTTATGCCAAGTGATATAAACGTCTTGACTTTATTGTAAAATTCTTGGTTGTCTGACACACAGTAGCTTCAATTTAAAACCTTCAAAACGTCACAGTAGTTAACTGCAATATTATTTTTTTTTCTTCTGGTCCCCGTCCAGTAAACCATGAAATACTCAGGAAACGGGAAATGGGATGTTGATATGATATGGAGATGAAGTGATTTTGGTTACTTGTCTGTTTCCAGAGCGCCTGTACAGACAGTCTGCCAGCCACGCCAATCAGTCGCCCTGGACCTTCCCTGTAAGGGAACCTTTCCTGAGCTCCAGTGTTTTGCTTCAGACACTTGATTTTCCTGGAACTTTTCCTGATATTGACCTTTTCCCAGGTGTCTGTAATACATTGCAAGCTGGCTGAAACAAATATCTTTCTTTCTTGTCTGCTGTGTATGGTTTGATTTTTTTATACATTTGCCAGGCTAATATTTCCATGTTGTCCCCCATCCCCCCCAAATTTTTTATTTTAATACAGACTTCTGCTTAACTTATTTCAGTCCTTGATTGCGGGGCCCCTCCACATGGCCTGCCCATAGAGAGAGCCAAGCCTCAGATCTGCAGCTCCGCCGGGTGCAGAGCTGCAGATCACGTGAGGTGGTTCTCACAAGCTCACAGAGCGTTGCCGTGGCTTACCACGGCAACTTTCTGACGGGAGCTCGTGGGAACGAGGTCTGCAGCTCTGCGCACAGCCGAGCTGCAGATCTGAGGCTCGGCTCTCTCTATGGGCAGACCATGTGGAGGGGCCCCGCACCCGGCATTATCAAACCAGACCAACATTAAAAAGGTGTTAGTGTGTGGAGGTTTGTTACAGGCTCCTTGTCCTCTATACTAACCCCCACAGACTCTGCCCCCCCACATTGTCACATATCCTGTCCCACACACTGCTTCCCCACACTGTTACCTTCCTCCACCCTGTCCCCCCCCCACTGTCACCTTCTTCTACACTGCCCCCCAAACTGTCACCTTCCTCCACTGTCACCATTCCACACACTGTACCCCCATACTGTCAGTCCCCAACACTGTCACCAATACATACAGTCACCCCTCCCAAACACTGCCCCCCACACACAAACTGTCACCGCTCCCACACACTGTCACCCTCCAACACTGCCCCACACATTCTCACCTACCCACTGTCACAATTCCACACACATACAGTCAACCCCCACATTGTCACCCTCCAACACACACACACACACTGTCGCCCCTCCACATGCTGTTATGCCCCCTTTCACATTAACCTCTCCTAATCTTGTCGCTCTCACGTCCTCCATCCATACCAGAATTACCTGCCCTCGCTTTTCCACACTCCATACTGATTTCCAAATGTTCTTGTTAATTGTCCAAGATTAAGGTATTTGTAAATATCTTGTTTTGATCAAATATACGTTATATAACGTAGAATTCTAATAAACAGCTGCTCATAACTTGTGAAAAACAATGTCATTGTCACACCCATATGCTCATTTTTCCCCCTCCCATCCTGCTATGAAAATGGGGTATAAATATAACTGACGTATGAATACAATTTGAATTGGTTATTGAACACGTCTCTGCTATTCATTTCCAATTTCCAGAGCTCTGAATGAGTTGGCAAATATCCATCATCCACAAAGGGCCCAGGCTGATTTTATCCCCAACAATCCTATCACATTAATCCCCCTACTCCTATCACACTCATCTTCTCTCATACTGTCACACTCACCCACAACCCTGTCACACTCATCCTCTTTCACATTAACCCCTCCAGTCCTGCCACTTATCGTGCCCAACCATGCCACACTCACCCTGTCACATAATCCTGTTAGGCCCTGTCACACTCCCTCATCCATCTGTAAAACACATAACCCCAATCTTGTCAAACTCATCCCCCTTCACCCTACTATACTCACCCTGTCACATTAACCCCTACTATCTTGACACTCACCCTGTCACATAACCCTCCCTAATCCTGTCACTCTCACCTCCCCTCACCCTGTCACACTCCCTCTTCCAACCATGCCACACTCACCCCAACCCTGCCACACTCACCCTGTAACATTAATGTTTCTTCCCCTCAACCCGTCACACTCCCTCCATCAACCATGTCACATTCACCGCCCATCCCTGTCTCCTTAATCCCCAACCCTGTCTCATTAATCCCCTCTCCCTGCCACATTTACCCCTTTGTAAACCCTGTCATACCTTGAATACATTTATCATACACACAATCATGGTCACAGGCAGCCCTCCCAAACACAACACACAGCAGTCAACTACCCCATACACATACAGTTCCATAAACAAACATACACATGCTCACAGAGACATACATTCCCAAACATGGATTCTCACTATCAGACACACACTCTCAGGCACATACACAGACAATGCCAGATACACACTGTGACTGCGTGTCTGCATTTGTCAGTGTGTGTCTCTGTGCAACACTGTATTATGTGTGCATGTATGAGAGTGTTAATGTGTTTTGTATCGTATTAGTGTGTGTCTATGGTTGCAGTGTGAGGGTGGTATGCTACAGCAAAGCAAAGCTAAAGTGGCAAGATATAAATTATATACATAGATATACAAAACATGGAGACATGTAAATCACATATGGGGTAATCTATATGTTAAAGGATCACGGAATGTTTGGGGGAAATGTCTGTGACTGTTTCTTATCTGTAACTTTATTATTTTGTAGGTGATTTATTTAAAAAATTTTAAAGCTTTTTTTTTTACCCAATCAAAATTTTAATTTCTGTTTGCAATAACCCCTGCACCCGGCACTTCTGTATACATGACTGCCAAGCTATGCGACCATACACGGCAATCATGTATAAACAATCAGCATCACTGCAAATTAATTTAGTTTGCGAATTATGCCATAACTACAGTCAGACAGCTCACAACAGAGCGGCACAGGGAGCTGCGACAACGCAAGCCTCTGAACAGTGAATAAATGAATCCAGCGCTGCAAGCACGCCTTTCAATATACCTACAGCTCATTATACACTCACAATGCAACCCCCATATATTTTACTATGAGTGTTAGTGGGGGCCTCATGTTTGAGTTTCGCCTAAGGCCTCACAATGTCTAGAGCCGCCACTGCTTCTGGCACTCCCCATGTGCACATACTTGACAAAGGAAGTCAAAAGTCAAAACCCTGTTTTGTCAAGCATAGGAAAAAATACATAACACAAAGTAGTTCATACGTTGTGTTATGTATTTTAGGGTTGCAGGAGCACAAAGGAAGAAAAGAACATGTATGGATCAACAGCAAAAACAAATGTGAGAAAAGCTAAACTTGATGTAAGCATGTCTCTTTTCAGCTAGGTAACTGTCATATTATTTCTAACACTTTTTAGTGTTCCTTTAACCCCTTAAGGACACATGACATGTGTGACATGTCATGATTCCCTTTTATTCCAGAAGTTTGGTCCTTAAGGGGTTAAGGACACATGACGAAAATATTCCGTCATGATTCGCTTTTATTTCAGAAGTTGTGTCCTTAAGGGGTTAAACAGATTTTTAATACTATGTTCTTTTATTTTCTGACTCCGTATGTCTCTATTACTTTGCCTAGCTTTGTATCTGTACAAACACGAATTGCTAGTTTTAGGATATTGACCAACTATCTCCGAGCTGCTATGGACCACAGATTTGCTTTGTCATTGCGACCACAGTCCACTGGCAGATTATATCTAGTGCTGATCTACATAATGCAAAACAAATGCTTCATTTATACTAACAGGAAGCCTAAGACCAGACAGGAAAGGTTCATCTGAGGCAAGAACATCTGGGCAATTATCTTTTATTCACAGGTTTACAGAAACACTACACAGCAAAAAAGTTTTATCATTTTTAGCTGACCTTTGGAAAAATAAAAATGTAGACTTAATATTCATGGTTTATGAAGATTCAGCTGTACATGACACCTGCTATTTGGGACTTTAAACAAGCATGCTCATTTCATTATGTAAAAATAAACAGAATATGTCATGATGCCAGGTATTAAATAGAATCCCAGCGAGAACGTTTAACCCCTTAAAGGGACACTACAGGCACCCAGACCATGTCATCTCAGTGAAGTAGTCTGGATGCACTGTCCATGTACCCTTAACCCTGCAATATAAAACACTAGTTTCAGAAAAACTGCAATGGTAATATTGCTGGGTAAAGACTGCCTCCAGTGACTGTCTACCAGACAACCACTAGAGCTACTTACTGCTGCTTTAAGGAGTTTGACGCCGTGAAACGATGCTGATCGTTTCCACGCTTTACATGAGGACTTTCAGCGTCTTGAAATCCCTACAAGAAGGCAATGAATCAGTGCTTTCCTATGTGGAAGGCCTCATGCACATTACGTTTGCCATTGGAACTGATTTCGAAGGAGATGAAGCCAGTTTCAGGGGAGAAGGGTGTCAGAGGAACACTTTGGTGTTAGGAATATAGTTTTGTATTTCTAGCACTAAAGTGTTCCTTTAAAGACGGAGGCAATTGTACACATTCTGGACCAAAACAAAACCTTGAATTTGAGCTATATATGTCTGTTCAACCATAATTTACCTCTTTCATATTAAGTGTACCCACACTAATTATATATAATTTTATTCAGAAGAAACCTGGATCTCATTTCACATCAAACATTTATATATGAAAAATAACTTAAAAATTAAAAAAAATCTACAAAACAGAGAGAAATTAAGTTCAACTAAGTCATTTTATTTAAAGGACCACTATAGGCACCCAGACCACTTCAGCTCAATGAAGTGGTCTGGATGCCAAGTCCATCTAGCAGAGAAACTGCTATGTTTACACTAGGGTTAATCAAGCCTCTAGTGTACTCAAACATTGTGAATGCTTTCCCATGGACTGTTTGAATGCGCGCGTGGCTCTTGCTGTGCATGCGCAGTCGGCGCTGACGTCGGCTGAGGGAGGAGAGTTCCCCAGCGCCGACAGAGCCTGGCGCTGGAGAAAGGTAAGTGTTTAACCTCTTCAGCCCAGCGGGAGTAGGACCCTGAGGGTGGGGCGCCTAAAGACCCTACAGTGCCAGGAAAACAAGTTTGTTTTCCTGGCACTATAGTGGTCCTTTAAGTTCTGCATGGCATTTTTACTGTGAATGTCATAATACTGTTAGTTTTTATTGCAATAAAATACACATATTTGTGTTCAGCAATGTCTCACAAATACAACAGTATCCCATATGTACAGGTTTTATAGGGTTTTGGAAAGTTACAAGGTTTATTAAAAGCTTGCCCATTTCAATTTTTACTCATCGAAATTTGCCAGATTGGTTTGCTGGGCCTATGTTGCCTTTGAGGAATGAAAATTATGACATACCATTAGCAAAAGTAGAAAACCCAGGGTATTCAAAATGGGGTATGTCCATTTTTATTTTTTTTAGTATCCCAGTAGTCACAAACCCTGGCCAAAGATAGTATTCATATTTGTTTTTTGCAATTTTCACACTGCACTCTATATCATCGTCATTACACGTGTATTATTTTTCTTTCTTTTCTAAGTGTATGTTTATATATAATTTATACATAAATATACTAAACAAAATTATACACAACACTTTTGTTTTTGCCCCCATTTTTCATGAGCTGAAATCAAAGATCTAAGACTTTTTCTATGTACACAAAAGGCTTTTTTCTCTCAAATAGCACTTCTCCTTTGCCGAGAAAATCCATCCACCTCACAGGTGTGGCATATCAAGATGCTGATTAGACACCATGATTATTGCAAAGGTGTGCCTTAGGCTGGCCACAACAACATGTGCAGTTTTATCATACAGCACAATGCCACAGATGTCGCAAGTTTTGAGGGAGCGTGCAATTGGCATGCTGACTGCAGGAATGTCCACCAGAGCTGTTGCCTGTGAATTGAATGTTTTTCTACCATAAGCAGTCTCCAAAGGCATTTCAGAAAATTTGGCAGTACATCCAACCGTAGACCATGTGTAACCACACCAGCCTAGGACCTCCACATCTTCACCTCCAAGATCGTCTGAGACCAGCCACCCGGACATCTGCTGCAACAATCAGTTTGCATAACCAAAGAATGTGCATTTTATTGATGGCATTTTGAATGCACAGGGATACTGTGATGAGATCTTGAAGCCATTGTTGTGCCATTCATCCACTACCATCACCTCATGTTGCAGAAGCATTATGCACGGCCCCATGTTGCAAGGATCTGTACACAATTCCTGAAAGCTAAAACCATCCCAGTTCTTGCATGGCCAGAATACTCACTGGACATGTCACCCATTGAGCATGTTTGGGATGCTCTGGATCGGCGTATACGACAGTGTGTTCCCCTGCCAATATCCAGCAGCTTCGCACAGCCATTGAAGAGGAGTGGACCAACATTCCACAGGCCACAATCAACAACCTGATCAACTCTATGCTAAGGAGCTTTGTTGCACTGCATGAGGCAATACAGTAAAACTGCACATTTTAGAGTGGCCTTTTAATGTGGCCAGCCTAAGGCACACCTGTGCAATAATCATGCTGTCTAATCAGCATCTTGATATGCCACACCTGTGAGGTGGATGGATTATCTCGGCAAAGGAGAAGTGCTCACTAACACAGATTTAGACAGATTTGTGAACAATATTTGAGAGTAATAGGCCTTTAATGTACATAGAAAAAGTCTTAGATCTTTGAGTTCAGCTCATGACAAATTGGGTCAAAAACAGTCAAAAACAAGTGTTGCGTTTATAATTTTGTTAAGTGTAAGTTATTTTACTATTTATATGTTTGGGCTTCTGTCTGACAGCCCAGGCAGTCCCACTGCAGTCATTTTGCAAGCCAGCCAATCCAAGTCATGTGACTGCGGTGTGATTGTGATCACATGACTCAGATCAGCTGGATTGGCTGCACGGGAACTGAGTAAAATATCACTTTATTTAGTATTGTTTCAAGGGATCAAATGATTGGTACTCAAACTATATTCTTCAGAAACCAAAAAGGGTTAACTTTTCAGGAGAGCCCAGCCTGGGAGAGATGTCCCTGTTCTATCTGAAGGTGATTTATTATCCTCTATATATTTCACTTGCTATTATTGGCCACAGTATGTCCTACAAACTGCTTCTCAAAGTTTGTCCAATGAGGCTTTGGAACTCAAGCAATCCTCATCAAACCTTACACCTTTTCATCCAAATATTTCCCAGACACCTACATTTCAATTCCTTCACTAACATATGATTACTTACCCTAAGATTTTAACAAGAATGTCATTAGTTATCCTTAAACTGCAAAGGGGAAAAAGAGAGCAACATTGCACATTGCCACTTGCCAAACTTCTATTGAAGTATTTAGCATTTTATTTGGGGCAACTTCAATTTAAAAAAATAAATAAAAAGGATATAGAGTTGCCTCATGTGGGATTCTAATTTTGCTCTGTTAACCTCCAGTACCTTTTGAGAGAGATTATTTTCACAATGCAAAGTACATTTTGAAAGAAGATCCTGCATCCAGCGCTTAAACAGATGCAGCAACCTAATTATTCATTGTGATAATAGTCAGAAAGCTATAAATAGGGAGGGAATTTGGAAAGTCAAAGCTTAGCAGGACATAAAACTGAAATACCAGATACAATGAAATCAGGAGACAACACATAACTAAATAAAATGATTGTCTCTGCCTGAGATTTTAGAGATTTAAACATTCAACACGGTGGTCACTCATGCTGAAATGTATACTGTAAATATTCTGAAATCTAGAATATTCACTAAACACATAGCTGTAAACTAAATTACAAATAAAAAAGGATTGCTTATTTAGAAACATTTTTACATTTTGAAATTTGATTTTCAATTCACTCAAACTTTGCAGATTAATACAATGTTGAATTGAAATGCTTTTTCATTGCTGTCCGAAATTTCATAAGTTAAAATGAACTAAACTTAAAGTAAAATAAACATTCCAAAAAACAAGCTACTGGTCAGACAGATCACATTTTACACGTCATGTTTTGGAAATGAATTTTAATAAAGCTTTATAGATTGAAATTAAAAGGATGTATATAACACAAGAAACAAGAATATTAATTTAACAACTACATCTCATAACAGAGAAAACAACAAAACATAAATAACAGAATTAGATATTTAGATCAAGTGTAGATTATCGTAAAGGAGGAATATTAACTAATAATTAAAACAATAAGAGGGTCCTATTAAAGTGAGTCCCTGGCATTTGCCCTTCCATTAAATGTTAAATAATTTTTGAGTGGTTTAACACTAAATAAAGTTGCCAGGCCACCCACAGTCTAGCCCCTACTTGGGGTATGGCTAACGCAGCGATTACACATTTTCTTCTAGCCATACCAATTCATACCAGCATACCTAGGCTGAAAGAAGTAAGCTGATGCTATTATTCAACCATTGCTGCCCTTGCTCATGCCTCCTTAATAGTCCGTCCCAGCAGCGGGGAGTTGGTGGGCTGCTGCGAACTCTATGTTAGCATTAAAAATTGTTTAATGCTGAATGGGAGAATTTGAAGACTTCATTTTTATATAGTCTTCACTAGGAAGTCCCTCTAGTGGCTGTCTGATATATAGAGGAAAACTAACTGCAAACATTGCTGTTTCTCGGAAATGTCAATGTTTACAATTGTCAGCCTGTTTGAAAAGAATCTAGGAACCAATACCATAACATTAAACTGTAATGGTTTTGGTCCTTAGAGTGTCCCTTAAACTGTCATAGTGTCTGGGCAAAGCATTGAAAGGCTGAAATTGCTAGTAGATTTCACATTTTCAAACATTTCCGTGAAATGTTTTTACCTGAGTTTGCCATATTTAGTATAAAACACATAAACGTCTTATTCAATTAACAGTGACCTGTAAACCTAAACAACAGGACAAAACGTTTTAAACAAGGAGTTGGAGAACATTTTCAGTCCAGCAATTTTAGCTTTAATGGAACACTAAGCACCATATCCTCTACAGTGTACTGCAATGGTTATGGTGCTAGGAGTGCCCTCTGTCTTCCTGTTTTAAAATGGTTTGACTTCTTATCTGGGGTCAGCTGGGCGCTGCTCCCCACATGCACGACAGCATTCAGAGAGCAGGAAGCTCTAGGTATGAGCTAACCCTGCCAGTGCAGGGCTTAGCGGGCTAACAGAAGCTTCAAAGCAGGTGCTTACAGCTCTCTGTTGGCTGTAATGGAGACAGAGAGAGGAAGGGGTAGTTTAACTATTTACATTGGGGAAGTTGCCAGGCCATTCCTGGCATCACAACCACTACAGCACACTTAGTGGTTATGGTGTTTGGAGTGCTGCTTTAAAGTGGCAATCGTGGTGCCATAACAGGTACAGCTCATTGTAGTGGTGATGTGGCTCAGAGTCTTTGGGTGCCACCCTCCCCAGTTTATGTCAAAATGGTTTTGAGGAGTTTGACAAAAATCAGGGCTCTTAGCCCATACAGCTGGTCTTCTTGGGTGGCTCAGCTAAAGCAGCAGTGAGTCAGTCCATTTGGTTTTATAAATTTAATTTTCCATCCACCACAATTCTATTAGCTATAGCTATTTGGTTTAACAGATAATGCATTAATTTGAAGGTGTCTTCACTGTGGATTGATTGTAGCCTTTGCAAGCCTTCTCCATGTCAGTTAAGAAAGATGGGACACCACTCTGTAAACGAAATGAAAATGAGGTGCACAAATGAAGTCTGAAAATGCCATCAATAGCTTATATATAAAAAGCAGGTACATCACATTACAAATTATCTTCTCCATTAGGTTAGTGGTTCTCAAATCAAACCAGTCCTCATGACCTAGCAACAGTCCAGTTTTTGTCAGAATCTCCATTGGAATAAAACAGGGAAATACATAAATCCTGGATTATTGGTGGGCCATATGGATTGGTTTGGGAACTGCTGCTCTAGATCATGATATTATTTTAATTTCTCTGTGCTACAATTAATTTTAGCATTAAACACCTGAATTGGGTAAAGGGTTGAAGCCTTCGTTGAGCCAGAGCTCAATTATCAACCTCGGGCTGTTGATTAACTAAAGAGTCATCAATTTATCAGTAGCTGTAGCTAGTCTCTAAATTTGCGTAAAAAAAGTATATCCAAAGAGATAACAAATTTTTGTGGAGCCTGTAAGCTAATTACGTTTCCTTCTAGAATACATCAAGGAAAGTTCTATTTAATTCTGCCACTAATTTGTTAGATTAAAATGGCTAAAGAGAGATTTTAGATAAGGGGCTTGTGAAACATGAAATAATATTTGGAAGGACAATTTCTCCCCTGGGGGAAGGTAACTAAAAGGTGGAGATTTTCACCATTGATCTTTTGTAATTATTCGCAATACAATTAAGAGCTCTCTGAATGAATATCAACATTTTAATAGAAAAGGGGAGAGGAATAATTGGAAAACCAGATAGCAATTTTAGAAGTGACATTGTTTTAAGAGCTGCCATTCTGCCAAACCATGGACGCATCCCCCCAATTTCATGATGAATCAGGTCAATAACTTTCCTACTGGCATCCAATGATTGTCAGTGTTTCACATAACCTACAGGGTGATATTGAAAAAAATTGTGGGAAAAGACTGCTCATGCAGTTCGCTAGAATTTCTGCATACATTTTGTAGTCCGCATTTAAGAAATATATTGGTTACACATTTTAATATAAAATTGGTCATTTCCCCAGGTTTGGCAGGGTGACTAAATGGACTTCTAGAAATGCAGCAAGTCCCTTGTTATACCTGTATTTAAAAAAGTCATCCCTCAATATTTTTTCTTCATAACAGTTTTAGCAAGTTTTGACTATTTCATAAAAAGTGCTGAATTATCAACATGTTATATAACATATCTGTTACTTTTCTTGTCATCTCTACTGTTGTTGTCATATCAATATAATTCTGTATGCATTTCACAGCACTCCAAAAATAAAAAATGTTAAAAAAAAAAAAAACCTTTTTGAAAAAGTCTTATTGTAGGGTGCTGCTAAACTATCAGGTCTAGGAGACTTGCAGGGTTTAGTAGACAGATATCTTCACAGACCGGACTGAAATTGACGGAAATTGAAGAAGCCTACTAAAGAGGAGGGTAGAGAGGCTGAGAGTAAAACATCTGTAATTTTAGCAAGAGCTGAATGGTCAGTGTTCTCATAAAAGAATAAGAGACTGCAAATTGGTCTGCTATTTTCTAGGTCAGGCATAGGCAACCTTCGGCACTCCAGATGTTTTGGACTACACATCCCATGATCCTTTGCCAGCATTATGGATGTAAGAGCATTATGGGAGATGTTCAAAAAAAACTGGAGTGCTGAAGGTTGCCTATCCCTGTTCTAGGTTATAGACCCTTACCCATTATCAGCCAATGAAGCCAATTAAATTGTGTGTTTATAAGTGTGTAAATAATTTTATATGGCCCATACATGATTAACTCTGTAAAAATGTCAATGATAAAATACTGCTGAAAGAGTTAAACCACTGTTACAGTCATTGAAGAGATACAGACAGCCACAGTTTCTTTAAATCGCCTTCATACACAATACCCTAATATTTCCACAGCCACTTGCCCTCCCACACCCTTCCCCTTCCAACACAAGAGACTCTTCTAATCAGGTCATGTACAATATCCTCAGCTCCTTACGTCAATCCCCTTATCTGACTACTGAGCGACAGGATACGAAACAAATTACATAAGTATTCGGAATTGTTTAATTGGCATCCTCATCTGCTTTATTCAGGATCAGTAATAAAATAAATACCGAGCTGTTTCAATGCCACATGTGCAGAGGTTTAGAAAGGAAACTGGACATAAAAAAAAAAACCTTAAATGAATAAAAAAAATTATTAAAAAAAACAGGGGTCACAGAAAGTGTTGTAATGACCAAGGGATGTTCTTTCAGATGGTAGGAACTCCAGATGTTATGGACTATATCTCTCATAATTCTTACAGTCATAATGCTGGCACAGCATCAGAGGAGGTATAGTCCTTAACATCTGGAGCACCAAAGGTTGCCTAGTCCTATTCTAGAAAATCCTCATTTGCTAAATCCTGTCTTTATTAGAAGGTACTTCCATGCTCAACCAGTTGTTGGTCTTTTTCACTAAAAGAGAATTGTCCAATTATCAAAACTATTCGGAAGCCAAATCCCAGAATCCCAAAGTCAGCAAACAACCACCTGAACAGGAGAAATGTATACAAACTGTCCATGTGGCAATTACTCAAAAAGCGACGATATTGGTTAAATTTTTAGGGTAAACTAAACTGCTCAACTGCTTGGTCAAGAGAATACTACTCTCTCCTAGCTTGGCCTAATTTAAACAATCTAAGCTGACATTTTTTTGCCTTGCAATTTCTACGAATATAAATCATTTAGAATCATCTATGATTGTTGCACAACATATTACAGATATTAGCCCCTTACAGAACAATGACAATGAGAGCTGTCATAACAATAAATGTTACAAAATTGAATGATGCTTTCAAGTTCAACCTGTACTTAATGTAAAACAATCCATGCTGGCATAAGGTACTTAGAGACTAAATTTTCCTTTAAAGAAATTTTCATTTTTTTTTTTTTTAGAAATGAGGCTGAACAGTCATCTTGTGTCAAATTCTACCGTTAGCTAACCTACTGCTGTTCAACCTAACTGCTGCGTTATGTTCACACAGGGAAATCACAGCAGCAGTTGGGACGAGCAGCAGTTGCTCAGATAACCGTACAATCTGACCCAATAAAAATTTGACATTTTCTCAAAATAAAAACCAGTATACATAATTTAAAAATAAATGAAAGTGTTTTTTTTGTTATTCTTTACTTTTGCATCAATCCGTAGTCATGCTTTACAGTATGTGGCAACAGTGCCGGTGGCGCAAACTAGTTAAACTTTCAGATATGCAGAAATAGCACTTGGATGAAACATAAAAAAACATGGATTAAAACATTTTATAGAAAAGAGACTAAGTATATCATGCCAAGTTAGGCTCAACCGCAGTGTGGCGTAAGCAGCTTAAGCTAAGTGACAGCATCGTGTAACAGTAGCGTGTGTGGTCGATGGTTAGATTGTGATGGGTAGTGTAAAATACTAAGCTTTACTATCAATGAGTAAAAATAAACAAGATATGTAACAAATGTGAGAGAGAAGATCGGTAGATCTGGGTTGGGATCAAGGCGAATAAGCTGCTTAAGCTATACTCATAAAGAAGAGTTTAACACCTCTCTAGTCTAACATGTGCTCATGCTTCCAGTTAGAGCTTTGAGGCTGGGGGGGATTTAGGTACTTATATACGTTGGTCTGCTCTGGAACAGGAGATGACAACTATCTTAGGTAGTGGACCAATAATGAGCAACAACAAAAATAATCAGAAAAAAAGAAAAACAATACTTGAGCATATGAGAATTTACAGTGCCCAGAGGAACCCAGTGGTTTGCAGATCATAGTCCCCTACTGAGATTCAGGTGGTAGGAGCAGTATATGAGTCTGGTGCGGACTGTTGTGGAACAAACGGAGTAATCCTTGCTGGGTCCCAGGTGTGTGGAGGTTTAAGAACTTTAGTAGGGCCTCCTCGTGTCAAAGAGTCCTGTGGAAGTCCCAGATCTCGCAAAAGAGCAGTGGCTCCGTGAAGATCTTGGAGGGGTATGTTGCGTCTACATGGGTAACTAGGAGTGTATGGGACTAACGTCAGCAGTACTAAACGTTGTGCTGTTGTAGGAGGGAGGTAAGTGGCTTGAGTGACCTCCGCCAGGCCAAGGTCCTGACAGACACGTCCGCATAAAATGCCAACATCATGTTCTCGAATTGGTAAGGTGACTTCCCCTGAAGGGCAGCCAAGACCGCTGATTTATCTTTCCCATTCTGGAAATGGACCACCAGGTCCCTTAAGGCCGTGACTGGAGCTTTGGCTGGTTTTGGAATATGGAAGAGTTCATCCAGGATCACCATCTTGGCCTGCCTTGGTGGTAAAAAGGCCAGTAGCAGTCTCCTCATTAAGTGTGGTAGTTCCGCTTCTTGGACACTCTTAGGACCTCCTCTAACCTTCAGGTTGTTCCTACATCTGTTATCCTCCTGTGCTGCAAAGCAGCGTTCATATAGTTGGTTCTGTTGCTGTAGGTCATGTACAGCTTGCTGGAGCGACTCCATTTGCTGTGTTCTTTTAGTGGAAGCTCCCTCCAGTGCATCAATGCAGTCTGTCAGTCCCTGCATACCTACGCAGAACGTGGCCATATCCGTAATTATGTTTTTCTGCAGGTCTGCCAGGAGCTTCTTCAGGACGGTGGTAGTCCCCGGGGAGGAATCTGGTGCCGTCGGGGCCTGTGGTGGCTTTACAGGTGCCAGTAAAAGTTCATCCTCCGCTTCGTAGGACAGCTCATCAGAGGAGTCTGAGCAGCCTCCAGATACGGTAGCCATTTTGGGCCCATTCGCGCCATGCGCTTGTCTCCACAGATCGCTAATAGTCAGACCGGGGCTTGGTCTATCCTGTTTTAAATTTTTTTATTTGAGCCCCATGGTATTCCAGCTATCCAGAGGGTTCCCCCAGAGTAAGCCAGCAATCTTGCTGACACAAAGGCAGTAATGGCTGTGGTCTGACCAAAACAACCGCTGGTGTTTGAAGACTCAAACCTTTTTTTCTACGTAGACCTCAGCAGGGCAAAACTCACCCGGTGAGCCCTATGGCCTATCACCCAGCATCTGCAAGCCACAGGACTTACATACAGATGGGGCCTTCCAAACATCCTGCTCTTAAATCGAGATGGCAAGGAACCAGGCTAGACTGTCCCACTGGGGCACCCAAATTTTTCGGGCACTCTGCCTGAATGAGCAGTACCCTCTCCCACAAGCTTCTACATCAGCTACTTAATGGGACATTGACAATGTTCTTCCATTCTCACCAAGAAATGTCCTGGGGGATGGCTGAAGAGTTACCAGATTGGTCTGTACCAGTTGGTTCTACCTGTTGCATTTTTCTTTTCTAAGTTTTACCTTTAAGGTCTCTGCTGGCAATTGTAGTTTCCCCCCCCCCTTTTATTTATATATATATATATATATATATATATATATATATATATATATATATATATATATATATATATATATATATATATATATATATATATATTTGTGGTCGGTTAATATCGTTATCGTGAAATACCTTGTGATTGGAATTAAGTCGACGTGGTGTGCCGGAACCGACGTAGGGGGTAGGCTTGTAAAAGAGGGCCCCCCAAATGGATTGTATAATAGGGTGAGGTGGGTGGGGTGAACAGCGTGCGTACGGAAAAGTAGGAAGGGGCCTTAAACTTGTGGTCGGTTAAGATCGTTATCGTGAAAATACCTTGTGATTGGAATTAAGTCGGTGTGGTGTGCCGGAACCAACGTAGGGGGTAGGCCTGTAAAAGAGGGCAAAATGAAATGCAAGAAAAACACACTTATTGCATTATAATTATCCCATAAGATTTGATTGCCTTACCTCTTATCCGTTGTGGAATGTTCTGTATAACGTAGCTGATTTCCAGTGAACCTAATTTATTATGTGTACCAGCGTACTGCTACTGGATGCGGTACTTATTGAAATGGATGTCCTAAATATGAGTCAGGGTCCCAACCTAATCTAATGCAAGGAGCACGAATGTAGAACTGCATTAGAAGTAGTTAGGGGATTATTAAGTAGATCAAGTGTCTTGATTGTCTGGTTTGAATGTTGGCGTGACATGAGGTAGTGTCTGTACCTTCTTAAATCTTCCTTGAGGAGACATGACTTGCCAGTCTGATTAGCTGTGACCGTGAAGTTGTAGGGCTCCAGAACCCTTGGAAGGTTAAAGGCACAGAGGTTTAAGACCAGGTTTGTGTGGTACGGATGCTGTCTAGAGAGTCTGATGCTGCTCGGAATTCCCATCTATGGATGTATGTTATTGTGGAGTGATGAACCAGTTATTTGATATCTTATGGTGAGCATTTAAGAAGACAGGATATGGTTTGAAAGGCTTGTCAGAACGTGTTGTTGTATGTCTGATTATTATAGTGCGATAGTGTTGTATGAAGGTTTGAATGAAAGGTGGCAAAAATGTGGCATAATAGACTACAGTTTGAACGGTATGCTTGTGGATGTTGTGTTCCACTGAGTCTTGGAAGAATGTCACATCTCTGTCGTATGTATTCTTAGTGAAAGCGAATAACGCCATAGGTGATAACTTGTTGTCGAGCCCCTATAGCCGGGCGACCGGATGGGGACGTTGAAATGCGGATTATGCTCGGGTGTTTGTCAGTTGGGTGAGGTACAAGACCTATTGTCTCTTGGTCAGTAATCCCTAATAGTTATGTAAATGCTGCAACCCAGGATTGTGGTTTTGTAACGGCACCCCCAGGCATAAAAGGGGTTAAAAGAAGTTTAGGAGATATTCCCTTCCAGATATACAGGCAGCTACTGTAGACACCAATCCACCGAACCGGAGAAGCATATGAATGCTCTCAAACCTACAAATGCTGTAAACAGTCGAATAGGAAAAACCATACGAAAGGTTTACACTCCTAGCAGTCGAACTGGAACAGCATACAATAAATCCCCCACCCCCAAGAACGAGACAAGGCTCTGTGTTGAGGTCAAAAAGGAACAGACAGAGCTGTGGGTTTATTGTTCTTATATACCCATTTTACAGACAAAGTCCCACCCACAGAGTTTTGTGGAACACCCAATCAAAACATACAACACAGATAACCACTCCCACAATTACATCACAATCCCTCCTCTCTATCCTGGAGATAATTGGGAAGTAATCCAATTATCTCCAAGGACAGAGGCAAAACTCCATCAAGCACATGGCAGTAAAAAGACAGTAAAATACAATAAAATACACAAGGTTACATTTATTACATAAAATACAGACATGCAACATATACCAGATAGCTTAGGTCTGAGCGCACAATATTACTGAATGGCGCTCAGACTAAACACATACAGTTCAATTGCCATGGAGCCAATGTCTTATTACATGAATAGGCTCCATGGCATAGCTATCTGGGTTAAATGAGTATATTAATCACACTGCCGCTGGGGAATGGAGACTGGGCTCCAAACTCCCTGCAGTACCTGCCGCTGGAGTTCCTCCCAACGTGCCAGCTGACCTTCTCTTTCTGCCCGGTATTGCAGATTCTTGAACACTAGGTTCCTCATGAACTGTTCTTATATACCCATTTTACAGACAAAGTCCCACCCACAGGGTTTTGTGGAACACCCAATCAAAACATACAACACAGATAACCACTCCCACAATTACATCACAATCTCTCCTCTCTATCCTGGAGATGATTGGGAAGTAATCCAATTATCTCCAAGGACAGAGGCAAAACTCCATTAAGCACATGGCAGTAAAAAGACAGTAAAATACACAAGGTTACATTTATTACATAAAATACAGACATGCAACATATCCCCAGATAGCTTAGGTCTGAGCGCACATTATTACTGAATGGCGCTCAGACCACACACATACAGTTCATTGCCATGGAGCCAAAGTCTTTTATTACACGAATAGGCTATCTGGGTTAAATGAGTTCATTCATTAAATCCGTGAATGAACTGGCCGCGTGTGAACTGCAGACTGCTGCCATGCAGTGTTCAGTATGCGTAGCCGCGGCCAGCCGGTATAGTCCATTAAGCTGCAGTTAACCGCAGCTTCTGGGTGGTCAAAAGGCGGCACTCGCCGGCTTCTGGGCGGCCGATTAACGGCGCCTGCCAGCTAACCGCGGCTCCTGGGAGGCCAATAGACGGCCGTTTGTTCGGTAGATAGAATCTACCCAACGCCCGGGCAGAAATACATGAATAGACTTTTCTGCATAGGAAAATAAAGTATTTAAATGCCGGTCCATAGTCAAAAGGCAGCAGGCAGGCAACCAGGCTCCTCCAATGCACAGTGGCGAGATTGGTCTCGTCACAGGTTTCATCTGTACAAAAGATTGGGAGTTGGTCGGAACCAGGCGGGATGAACACAGAAACCCAATTCCGAGCTCGATTGACTTCCCCCACTTGACCAGGTCTGCCTTGCCAGAGGATCTAATAACACTATCTTCGTCAGGCAGGCCTGGTAGCGAGCATGCCAGTAAATGAATGAACTGCCCAGCGGGATAGTGCGCATAGTGACGTACAAGAACCCGGCAATGATTGCAGGTCTTTCAAATTCAAGTTCCCCGATGAAGGGACTTGTTCGTCTTCACGACTGCACATGATCTTATCCTCAGGAGACTTGACTGTATGGTACCGTAATTGGTATGAACCTATGACATGAAGCCTGTAAGAGAATTAGGCGGATGATATGAGGCAGTTAAGGCATAGGTTGCGACTGAATGAGGAGCAGGCAGATCAATGATGAGATGTTGTTTATTAGAGTATTGCTGGTTGTTTCCAGTATGTGATACATGTCTAGCCGATGAGAATGGATCCTCTAGGGTGCCTACTGGGAGTGATCCCCACCTAATGTGGAACACGTCTAATGATTAAATCACCAAGTGCGTAGACGGATGTGACTCCTGTATAACGTCAAGCTTATTCCCTCTGTACTCATGACCTTTGATATGATATATACAGGCAGATGGTTTTGACTTGAGCCCCGATGCATATGGCGCATATGTGAAGCAATTTGCAGTTGATAGAACTACATATGCTTGTGTTGAAATCAACACAAATTAGCGGGTGAGTACTCAGAAAGTGAGGGGGGGGTGAAAGGTGATGCGTGGGCCAACCCTGAGCGTTGGTGGGATCAAATGTGTATGTGGACCCTACGGGAGAAGGGCCTATCTGAGCCGGACTGGTGCTCTCTAAGTTAGACAGTCTATATTGAAAGACTGAAGCGTAGCCAGAATGCAGTTTAGATTTCCAATAATGCCTGAGATTTCTCCTTGTGAGCTGGTCCACAACACAGAATTCTCAGTGTCCGGCTCTGAGGTTGCGCTAAGGAGGGATGGTCCTTTTCTAATGTTGCCTTCTTGAGACATACTGGGAAAAAAAATTCCACAACAAGCATGAATTGATTAATAACAATACTGTTGAGAAATGTAGAACTGGCTGGCTAACTAGCGCCGAAGCAAAAATCTCTCTACCCCGTGACAAGTGAGGCCCTGCTAGTTGCCAAGTGGCTGTTGAGAGGCTCTACCTATGATTTGGTCGTGGGGCTCGAGCCACTAGCGTGGTGGCGGGGTGTCGGCCTCTTGGTGACCGTAAAAAATCCAAAAACGTGTGGCCGTGACAGGTGAGGCCCTAACTATAAACCAGATAGGTGGGTGAATGCGAGGCTCTAACTATGATTTGGACCGAGGGGCGAAAATCTCTGTGCCGAGATTGGGTAGTTGGCCTCGCGGGACCAGCTGCGTTGTACGACTAGGGCCAGTTCCTAAACCTAGACAGCCAGTTCCCTGACCCTAGACGGGGGCTTGATGAGGGGGTAATGTAACGTATTTGATCGTCAAAGGAACCTTGAGACTCCTGTGTCAGAGAAAGAGAACAAGGAAGGGGAAGAAAGGAGGAAGACAGAAGAGGAAAGGAGCTGTGGTGACGGGAGAGGAGAAAGAGAAATTGTGTTTAGCACCGTGTAGTTCTTGGAGACATAGCTGATAGTATGGTAACCTTAGGCCCTGAGGGTGCTGAAGACTCCCCTGGTGGCTACTATATATCCCTGAAGGGAGATAAGAACGGCGTTGTGCCGTGAAAGCATGGTAGTACCTGGTGGAAAGTGGAAGGTGAAATGAGCCAGGTTTGTTAGAAACCGGATGATTGTTTACAGATAGTGAGTTTGAATAAACGTATAACGTGTAATCGAGTGGTGCCATGGCCTGTCGAGGAAAGGCGGGAATCAAGCCCCTGTACCCTAATACCCCATAGTGTTAATGCGTGGCCTTGTTGAGGCAGTTGATTGAAACGAGAACGAAAATGTGTTCGTACCTGATAGAGAGAGGAGACAATAAAGAACCAGTAAGTGTCTAATGGTAGAATGCCGTCCCAAACCTGAAATTAAGGTGCTGTTTTAGAAGGGAAATGATCGTCTTAAGGTGCCCTCTAAATATATAAACAGCCTCCTCTTAATTAGTTATTGGATTACGCCAATCATGTCAATTAAAGGTTTTAGCAGACGGGAATAGGCAACCTCCATATAAATTAGTGAAACTTATATATAAATGCAATGGAGATTGTTCAATTGCAGTGTGTCAAATGTATCCGTCTGAATCATCTGACAACAATATTTTAATGTATTGACGTGATAATGTTAGGCTTAAAGTAGGGGCATTCTTACCTAAAGGGAGGGAATTGAAACAAACGGATTCCAAACAGTTTAGGCTCAAAAATGAAAAGACAATAGATATCCCCCCTTCTTATCAGGAAACAGTTGTATAGTTAGCAGTATTCCTTTGGTGTACTACATTCCCATAATTAAATTACCAGAATAGTGCATGAATTGAAATGGACAATGTTGTTAAGATTCACTCAACCTAGCCGGATGTAATAGTAAATGCACGATATGACGTATCGGATGGAAACTGAAAACGAACTAGGAATAGCAGGTGTGTTGAGCGTTCGTTTGTCCGTAACCGGAGTAGAAACTGTCTGGTGGCGATAAAGGCCTGAACAGAGGAGATTGATTCATATATACACCAGCATCGCATACTGTCTACTATATAATCTGTTTTAACGGATAAAGAAATACATTACATTTTGTAGTTAACTACATTGTTTAACTTAATCACATAGAATAGTAAATGCATGAATTAACTTGATTGACATGAATGTTGTTTAACCAGATAGTGAAATTGGTTAAAGGGACACTATAGTCACCTGAACAACTTTAGCTTAATGAAGCAGTTTTGGCGTATAGAACATGCCACTGCAGCCTCACTGCTCAATCCTCTGCCATTTAGGAGTTAAATCCCTTTGTTTATGAACCATAGTCACACCTCCCTGCATGTGACTTGCACGGCCTTCCATAAACACTTCCTGTAAAGAAAGTGTTTAAAGGCTTTCTTTATTGCAAGTTCTGTTTAATTAAGATTTTCTTATCCCCTGCTGTGTTAATAGCTTGCTAGATCCTGCAAGATCCTCCTGTATGTGATTAAAGATCAATTTAGAGATAGAGATACAATTATTTAAGGTAAATTACATCTGTTTGAAAGTGAAACAAGTTTTTTTTTTTTCATGCAGGCTCTGTCAATCATAGCCAGGGGAGGTGTGGCTAGGGCTGCATAAACAGAAACAAAGTGATTTAACTCCTAAATGACAGTGAATTGAGCAGTGAAATTGCAGGGGAATGATCTATACACTAAAACTGCTTTATTTAGCTAAAGTAATTTAGGTGACTATAGTGTTCCTTTAACTGTGCACGTGTAATAGCTGCAATCGATGGTCGAGTAAAATAATCAAGTAAATAGTTAAACAATAATACAAATAAGTGTACACTTCGACAGACCAGAGCAGATTAGTGCAAATCCTAATAACGTACCTTAATTCTAATTCTATCTTCAATAATACAAATGCAGATAAGGACAAACTTGAACGAACTCATTTTTAGGCTGATAACAGAAAATCAATAACGCACAGAAATTTAATTTTCAACGGAGAGATGGTGCATACTTTTGAAGTATGAAAACTAAATCGGAGCTTATATGACAACTAATATTTTTCAGGATAAATGTTCTGTTTGTCTCACCGGGAAGCTGTCATGCCTTTTTAAGGGGGTGTTTGTAGTGTTTTGGAACTTTAGGTGCTTTGGATTAAGCGTTATACAGTTCATGTTGCAGACCTGGACACTGTATACCAAAGGATACCAAACAAGAATGTCAGAGCAAAAAATAAGAGGACAATGATATGTTTAAACCCTTGTTAAAAGGAAAATGCTCCAAAAGAGTGTTTGTTTGTATATAGTGCAGGAGCTAGAAATGAGATGATTGATATAATCAAGCTTGTATTGTTCTCTTAGTGTTTATTTATGCAGATAGATGTTCTGCTGCTGTGAACATAAATATTGTAACGGCGTTCGCCTGTTTAGCTTGTTCCAGTGTTTGTTCGTGTGAATAAGAAAGGGAAAAAAACCAAAAAAAGTGCTTATATGATTGAATTTGTCGAAAGCGGCTATTTGCCGATTAATGGCGTTCGTATGTTTTGGCAGTTTGATTGCACGAAATGGTTAGCGGGAGAACTGAGAGGACGCCAGGACCGGAAGAGCGGCAGACGAAAGACCCGGAGGTTCAGCTGTCACAGAGACTAGGTGAACAGCGTGCGTATGGCAAGATAGGAAAGGGGGAGTAGCGTTTATATAGGAACGCTAACTCCTCCCACAAATACAGGCCTTCGGCCTTAAACATATATATATATATATATATATATATATTATATTATATAATTCTGTTTGTACACTTCGCAACATTTATGTTAATATAGCTTTGGCCACTGGCTCATACAAGCCTAGCGATAAGACCACCACCCCTCCACCCCCCAAAAGCCCAGCGATATACAGCTTTCAAACGATTAGGTTGTTAACCAGATTATGCCCCACCTAACAGGTTCTGCGTGTTAAGCTCACTATTTTTTCAATACCTTCAGTTTTGCACTAGTTATTGTATGGCCTGGCAAAATTTACTATTTCCTTATAATGTTAAAAGATTAGGTTCATTTTACCATATAATAACCAACATTATGTATTGCTTTACAAATCTGTTTTATCTAATGTCATATTGTTGATATATTATGTGCATCTTCCTTAATAAAAAAAAAAAGATTGACAAATAAATAACTAGAATATGATGACTTATTTTGGGCTCTTACCTTGGCTGTCCAGTTGATCAGCCACGACGGGAGCATACCACCAGGATTATCAAAGTAATACATGAATACTACAAGAGCAAAATTGAAAAGATGTTACAAATGAGGCATGTCAGCTAGACAAGAGTTGGCTCATATAGTGCCACAAACTTCATGTTTGTTTGTTTTTTTATTGCTGTATTTTTAATGCCACTTGGGCTCAGTAATAGCCAAACCCTGCAAAAAAAACCAAAACAGTGATTTTATGAATTTATAGAAAAAAAAAACAAATGAATACCAAAATACACAAGTTCGTAAAAAATAGTGATTCAGCTGTATTTCCAGCCTCACAATTATGGCCCTAATTTTGCTTGTTTGTCACGCAATTTAGAATCCATTGAAAAAACAAATTGGCCCTTTTTCTAAGGTGTTCCTTGTATTCACCATAATGCTCCTTTAACTGCTTAGAAAATGCTGCTGCTCTCATACCAGTGAATCTGCTACAAAGACAATCTACTAGGAAAAATAAATGCAAATTATGCTGAACAATTGTTTACACCTGCACAAGATATAGCACACAGGTCTTCCTTCACTAGGTCAGAGAGACTGTAAAACCAGATTATAGCTGCTAGAATGTTAAAGGCTTATAAAAGTAATTGCATAGATACATTGAATTATTTATTAAACAGATACGTCCTGCATTATGGCATTGTTTTTCCAGTAGTTTCCATGAACAGATTGCATTGAACCTTTTGAAAGTCACATTGTTTTTCAAGAAAAAAAAAATTGTATTCGGTTATAATGGTAAATATTTAAAACCAAGTTAAAAAGGATACAGCTGGATTGTCAAACACTAAACAAGCAAGTTATGTACCCTGGATTTATTTTTGCAAATAGCACTGAGTGTTCTAATGAAAGTTCTACACATGTGGGAATTAATGCTATGGCCTTGATTTTATAAGCTTTTAACATGATTCAGTACGGTTAGAAAAACGATTTCTGTACAAAAATTCCCATAGACTTTAAATCAAATCCTCTCCTGCAGAAAGAGGAATATTTCATAGTGCAAAGCGAAATGTTGATGTTTCTAGTTTTACGTTTTATAGTTGTTGTTAAAACGTAAATAAATATAATATGAAGCAAGATCAATTACAACTTTCAACAACTTGAATGTTATATTTATAAGTCGGAGGGATTGTTCAATTATCTGCTCCCTCGCTTAGTTTAACTGCTGCTGAGGAAGCTAACGTGTTTAATTGTTTTTAGAAGTTCTGAACATTTGTTTTTACACAAAAAACCAAATACCAGGACAGCTAAATTAATGTGAAATCTAATCTGCCTACTATCAATTATTCCTGAAGCCTTTACTCAAATTCCTCCGCAAGTTCTTTCTCTGTTATTGAGACACTTTCCTTCTGAACTGTATTTTGTCCACCCTTATAACATGTCTTGCCTTTCCAGGACATATCCATCATATCTAAAGATATCAGTTGCAAGAACAGCATTTAAGATCCTTACAAAAGAAAACTGTCGTTATGAGAGTTAATACAGGAAAACGATATTTAAACCAAGAGTTGGCCGTTCAGTGTTAATCAGTCAAGTCCACCACATCTCACCTTTACATCCACTGCTGCCGTCACTCTCGATGGCCAGACTTTGTTTGTAGGCAGTGACCCTGATAATTCCCGACTTCTCTGGACAATGGTTAACTGATACACTCTTGGCCAGAATCACAAATATCTTCCTTCCATCTACATCCAGATCTTGCCTTTCACGAACATAGACATACTTCTCACGGGTTAAGGAAATACCTATAGATTGTACGGGTACATACCCATGATCTTATAATTCTTCTGTTTTTTAAGGAAATACCTATAATGCATTATGTTGGAATATTTATATTTTTAGATGGTATGCTATACATGCAATGAAGATTATTTATAAATAACAATGCAGGGTAAGGGTGCTAGAAGTGGTGAATTCAGCAGGAATATTCCATCTTTTATTATAAATATTTAGCAATTGACCACAAAATCTCTCTTCATTCACAAATTACGGATTTTGTGATTCGCTTACTGGTTTTCATCAGAACCACTGGATCTGTTCAACTGGGACAGTGATTACTTCATGCAAGTAGACACTCAAACCAGTACTGAACAAGGGGGCTGTGGTACTGCATCTAGTGTCTATCAATCAGACAGCCACTAGAGGCACTTCCTGCTTGCTAGGTGACTTTTGGTCACCTAACTGACACTAGATGTCTTCACACTCTGCACTGGAATTGGATAAGTGTTACAAGGGTTTTTTAACCTTTGCAGCTCGAGGGGGAGTGGGGAACTATAGTGTAAGGAATACAACTTTGAATACACTATAGAATCACTTTAAAGGAACACTATAATGTTTGGAATACAAACATGTATTCATAATGCTATAGTGTTATAACATCATTTAAGATTATCAAGCCCTCCAAAATGAATTCAAAATGTATTTATTTTTAAAATATCTTTATACTTAACACATCCTAGGGCACACTGGCTGGTCTCGCAACAGTCGTTCTGCCTCCACTAACTGAAATCATCAATATTGATGATCTTAGCCAATCCAATGATTCCCCATCACATAAGCATGGGGGGCTAGAGCACATCTTGGCAATTGCTAAGACAATCAGGGAGCAGAGATGCAGAATGATGGTCATGCAATGTTTGCAGTACCAAACCTAGGAAGTCCCACAAGAGGTGGTCATAGGCAGCAATGTAAACGCTACCTTTCTGCGAAAAAAGGCATGGGTTTACAATGCTTAGCCTGCAGGGGCAGTCACTTTGCCCCAGAACCACTAAATTAAGATATAGTGGTTCTGGTGCCTATAGTGACCCTTCACTATTCGGTTGCTCAAAATTCTCACTGGTGATTGTTCCACGGTAAAAATATATAAACACGATGGAAATAAAGGCACAAATTAACAGAGCAGAAAAGTAGTAAATAAAAAGTCATCAAGCACTTTTTTTTTTTTTTTACAACAATTTAATTTTTTTTATCAACGGCAGTAACATATAGGTATCGATGAGTTGTTTAGTGTTGTCAACATACACAAAAACATTATGAAGTAACAGTAATTATGGCAACATGTGGGTTTAACTAAGGCTGCCAATATCAGTGCATCATAACTTATGTTTCATATTGCAAGGGTCACCCGGTATACCGAAGGAAGAGGGATAGGGTTGGACAGGGTTGCAGATTTGAACGTAGTTGTGCTGTAGTCGGATCACAGTGCTGTTAGGTTTGTGCATATGTTGGTTTTCTCGTTTAACGACAAAGGCTGGTCAAGCAGATGTGTAAGGGCCCCCCCCTTACACATCTGCTTGACCAGCCTTTGTCGTTAAACGAGAAAACCAACATATGCACAAACCTAGGAGGGAAAAGGAGAGAGGGGGGGCTAGGAGGGGGTGGAAGGGTTTCAGGCCACAGTGAGTTGTAAGTATCACTATCCAGTTTCCGGGTTCTGGATTTACCTGGTTGTTCGGGAGATATATTCCATCTCTGAGATCTCCTCGACCCTAGCTATCCACTGCTGGAGGGTAGGCACCCCCAGACTCTTCCACATGGTTGGGATTAGTGATTTGGCTGATGTGAGTAAATGTTAAGTCAGGGATTTTTTTGTAGGACTTCAGAGGGGTTGTGGTATCGCGCAGGAGCATAGGGATGTCTGATTCAGAGATTTCCCTGATCTTGGAGTGCATCACAGAATAGAATGGCGTAATGTCAGGAAAGGACCACCAGATGTGTAGCATTGTGCCCCTATAGAAATTACAGCACCAGCATTCCTCCGGGGATGATGGGTTCATGCGATGAAGAACCTCTGGTGTTCTGTACCAGTTGGTCAGTACCTTATAACTCATCTCCTGGTACTTGAAGCTTATGGAACATTTGTGGGTTAGGACAAATATCTTGTCCCAATCCTGGGTCATGTTTTTTTACTAAATAGTGAATTGACAAACATGATATAACATTTAAGTCCACTTTCTTAACCTCTATACATTTTTTCAGCCTTTCATAAAAACTACACATCCCATTCTTCTCCACACCAGGTAGAAGAAAGGAAAGGAAGCTATACTTTCCTAACGCACTCCAACCTCCACTCTCCGCTGCCACTGTTGCCTCTTCAGCTTCTGAAAGATTATATTACCGGGTCATATTTGTAGCATGTGCCAAAGCGCAAAACAGGGTTCTAAAAAAGATTCCAAGAGGTGAAAACTCCGTAGAAATGCTACTTTAAATTCATACTGCAAAGAACCGTCTCTAGATTTTTAGCCCATATTATTCTAAATTTTTAAAAAAAATTAAAAGGTTTAAACTTTACTATCCCTTTATATAGAAAAACTACCCATTCTACATTAGAATAAACACTTTTTTTTTTGTGAAATACAAAGGATACATCACGGTTAGCTAAAGGGAAAGGATACTTCACCTCCCAGTAAATGACAGGGTCTTCTTCACTTTCAACTTCTCGTAAAGCTGGAAAAAAAAACAAAAAAACTACTATTGATATTCTAACAATGCTAGCAGTCAAATGACTAGAATCTCCATACAGGCTTCTTTTTATTTCAGACTGTGTATAACCCTCTCTGATAGTAAACTGGAATGATAGAATAAATCCAAAAACCACCACCATATATTTTTCACATTATACATATTTAAAGGAACATATAATTGCCCTAAATTGTTTGTATCTGGTGTAGAGAAGAGCACAGTAATTTTTTTTTGCCCACTAGATGGCAGTTGTAGGCAAAACAGAGATTTTATTGCGATCACATTTATATATATGTAATCATTCACATCATCAAGTATATATATACCTTGGTCAGTCTTGCTAACATCCGGACTGTAGTTGATGGGACAAAAATAAAAAGCTGTTCTACAAGCTTGCTTGGCTAGAAACACACCAATATGAGACAACAATCAGACCTAACAAAGCTTGTAACACTATGGCATACCAAAAACTCCAACAAATATAGAAACACGACCTGAAACATAAAAGGATTATTGTGATATGGTGTATTCTGGCGCTGTTACAGAGTGGGGTAACTAGAACAAGTTAGGAATGAAAAGGGGACAGAGACACTTCTTCAGGTAACACTGTTGGAGTAAACTCAACAAAGGGGAGGACAGTCTGCCTATAGAACAGGCTGGTTGGGGACAGTATATTACAACTATTGGAACTCTCTGGGATCAAGTAAAGAACAGGGGGAATCCATAACACTCCAAATCCAAGGTTTTCACAAATTTCTAATAGCTTAATACTCCCTTATACTTCAATTCTAGAAATCACGTGATATGCCCTCTTTTTACGGGAATTCCATGAAATGACTTGAAATTAAAAAAAAACAAATGAGATGATGACCAGACAAACTTAATCCTCGGATTCCAAGCTGAGTCAGGAATGATTGAACTGGCAAGCGATGATGCAGGATGACTCTAATACCCCATATCCAAAAGTCCATCTCTATAGAAGTAATTTAAAGGATTACTCCAACCACTATGACCACTTCAGTGATTTAAAATTATCATCGTGGTAGGAGTCTGGATATGCAGTATTTCTGCTTAAACTGCTGCACATCCAGAGATATATTCACTTTTTTTGCTGGGGGCTGGTTACACCCCCTGCACACATGAATTAGGCAGCTCAGCAAATATCAACACTGTGAAAAATTTACAATGGCAGTCAGTGCTCATGCAAGGGGAAGCTTGGTGCTCTGAGTCAGTTGAACTGTCCAATCAATTACTACTCTATGAGAAACATTTGATTGCACCGCACAAGGTCCTTGGTAAAGTCGTCGTGGAGAACAGCGACGGGAGCTTCGCCAAGTGCTGTATTTCAGGTAGGTTTTAAATCCTTTTTTTCCGCTTTTAAAGGGAGAGGGTAGCTAGCTAGGAATGCCCAGTAGGGCATTGTAATTTAAAAAAAAAAAAAAAAATTGTTCCATAAGGTTAGAGTAACTCTTTACGTCTAAGCAGGGGTGCTATCCATCTTTTTTACATTATCTCTATATCTACAAGCTTTCACTATTTGCTTTCCAATTAGAGTACATTTGTAAATATACAGAAGCCTACTGGGTGGCCATTTGTGTTGAGATTTTGCTTACAGACATTGGTCATTTATTGTTTGAAATGTATGATTTTGTTTCTGTTACTTTGTGTGTTGTGTTTATTTTCTGAGTATACTATCATAACAGTGTACATCTGGGCCCCATAACCCTGCTTCTTCTAACCACTGGACTGAGAGGGTAAAGAAGAAGACAATGCGTGAACTGAGTAAAGTGGTATATTGTGATGTGTAGAAAAAAAAAACAGTTTGGGAAAAATTAAACTGCCGTCTGTACTATCTTTCTTACACAATGTTCAACTGCTGCTGCTCCACCACCGGTTTTATCTTAATAAAAACATAATTCAAACTTCCAATCTTCAAGTACACAACCTTCCACAACTCACTGACACGTAATCCCTCTCTCTTTCAATCCATCCTCTCCTTCAAGAACCCTTATAAACCTCTTACTAGTCACTCCACTAATCCTGACACTCATATACCCATAATGTCCACAATCTATGAAACGTCTTCTGTTTTTAATTTTAAAAAATGGATAGCGGGAGGGTATGAGAAAAATAGAAAGTAAATAGGGTAAATATTTAACAAGTCAATGATACAATTAATGAATTAGTGCACCCACCAGCCCCCCATCTCTTTTTATTGAAGTTTTGTCGTCGTGTTTGTATGTTAGCAAAGGTTTTGGGCTGGCCTAATTCATCTTGTTTCTTTTAAACATTTTTTAGTTATTATTCACGTTACTCATCATGTCCTGGTTTGCCAAAAATTCTAGAAAAATGTATACGAATAAAAGGAGGGCGTTTGATTCCACAGGGGGTTCAATAACACTGATATGATACCTTCTATGTACTAAGCACAGAGAATTGAATGTCATTAGATTAGCCAGCTAGTAATTTTTATTTGTGGCAGAAAAATGTGATAATGGCTGTTGAATGTAATCTTGAATTTCAATGAAATTGGTATTTATATGTTTTAGTTGAATAAGGAGTGCTTTTGACCAAAGAGGACTTAAGATAGCTGCCCCATGCAAAATGGGTAAGCCAGATGAAACGCTGATATAGGTACTTATATGTATGCAATACAAAATAATAAACACAGAGACTGTAATACATATTTTTTATTCTAAATAAAATAAAAATTGCAGTTTTCCTTTAAGTCACCTGACATTACAGCATTGTCCTCTCATAAAAGAAAAACATGTGAATTGCACTAACCGTTTACATACTGATCCCACTTCTTTCTATATTCTAAATCCATGTACACATCAGCAAATAGCTCAGGAAGGCAGTCGCTAAGGCCTCCATAAACTTTATATTGATACAGGCCAGATTCCTGGAAATTAAGCACAAAGATCAATGTTACAACAGGAACAATGTCAACCTGATGGTCAAGCTGTATTTATATCTAGCTCTATTGAAAGCAGGTTTGAGCAGGGTCCTCATCAATCTATCATTCCCATTAAACTTTGTAATAGTTTGTATTATTTATTGTTAAATTCCCTCCTTTATAACATTGTACAGCACTGCGGAATAAGTTGGCGCTATAAAAATGCCAGTATAATAATGAGCTTAAAAAGGTCACATCAGCACGGCACAAACAAGGTAAATGGCGATTTAAGATATTTTATAAAATAAGGTTGCTGGTAACAGATGCCATTTTTCCTGGAGAGTATCTGTATTTTAGGAACGCTCTTAAGCACCATAAGCACTTCATCTTGCTGTAGTAGTTGTGGTGCCAGGAGGGCCCTGGTGCTCTCTCACAGTACGCAGTCAAACTGTTTCAGAACAGTCTGACAACTTATCTTGGGTCCGATGGGTACCAGTCGAAGCCTAATCTGCAGCCAGAAGATTTTGTCGGGAGCTAACATTTTTTTTTTCAATTTGTATTTTATTGGTGTTATACATACAATAAAACACTTTTCTTTTATATGAGTTATAACAACATCAAACGTATGGCTTCACATATGGGCTTGGGGCAATAATTGTAACATATGAGACACTATAAACTAATAAGCTTACAACTTAGTGTATCATTATAATACATTTCAGGGATGTCCATAGGAACCGGGGGGGATGGGAGGGACTCATCCCCCCCCAGCAAATCATGCGGGGGGGACAGGTTATAGAGAAATTCCCCCCAGCCTGCCGGCCGCGGGTGCCCTTGGGCTGCGTGCGGCTCCATCAGGGAACCGCACGCACTGCAGACTGTGAAGGGGAGCACCTCCCCCTCCGCACAGGGTGTCACATGACTACCCGGCGCTCAGTCTGACACTGCGCCCGCCGGACGTCCAGAGGTCCCCCTGCTATGTCAGGTAAAAGAGGGGACAAAGGTAGAAAAATAATTGGAAGGGTTTAGGGGAGCTACTAATATGGATGGGGGAGGGGTAGGTAGAAAAATAATTGGAATAGTTTAGGGGGGCTACTAATATGGATAGGGGGAGTGGTAGGTAGAAAAATAATTGGAAGGGTTTGGGGGCTACTAATATGGATGGGGAGGAGTAGGTAGAAAAATAATTGGAATGGTTTAGGGGGGCTACTAATATGGATAGGGGAAGGGGTAGGTAGAAAAATAATTGGAAGGGTTTAGGGGGGCTACTAATATGGATGGGGGAGGGGGGGTTCTTATGTGCATGGAAGGGGTAGGGGTGGTTCTAATATTCATGGGAGGGGTAGGGGTGGTTCTAATATTCATGGAAGGGGTAGGCGGGGTTCTAATATAAATGGAAGGGGTAGAGACGGGTAGTAAAATGTATGGAATGCACTTCTGAAAGTGTCACTGAATGGCAGTTAGGAAATGTGGTCACCCTAAGTCAGGGGCAGTATTACACAATCTGTATATGTATATAAAAAGTAATCTGCAAAGTACTAAATGTTTGTGCCATATGTCGTGCTAAAAATTAAGCTAGGAATGTGCATATTTTTTTAAAATAATTTTTAGAATAAGGATACAGACATTTTATTTCTTACATTTGTGATGATTCTTTTTCCCCCTCTATATTCAAGGGACACTATAGTCACCAGAACCACAACAGCTAAACGTAGTAGATCTGGTGTCTATAGCATGTCTTTGCAGGCTTTTTAATGTAAGCACTGCCATTTCGTAAAAAGGCAGTATTTACATTACTGCTGAGGAATACCTCTAGTGGACACTCAGATGGCCACTAGAGGTGCTTCCTAGTCGAGACACGAATGCCGCCCTATGAAGTATCTGTGCATGTGCGGCAAAGCTGCGCATGCGCACCAGAGAGCAATGACGCTTCTGAATAAAAGCGTTTTATTGCTCCCTGCTCGCACCCTCCTATTTCGTCATTTTGACGAAATAGGGGGCACGGCATCAGGAGGATCCCGGCGCTGTATCCAGGTAAGTAAAACCCCTTCCCTGTAGTGACCCTTTGATGTTATTTTATCATTTATATAGCGCCAGCAAATTCTGTACAATGGGATAAACAATTCCTAGTTTACGGAATAAGAATATACCCGGCGAGAAAAAATGCTACCCCCCCCCAGATTTTTGGGCGTTCCTACGCCCATGGGGATGTCTGGTGTGGTTGACCTACGTCAGATCCATCTAATCCTGCATTGACCAGGTGTGGTAGGCGTGTAAACTATGTGGCCTATGTTGGGGTTAGAGAGCTTCCATTTTTTAACCATGGCGGACAGTGTCAGTTGACTGCTCTCAGCCAATGAAGTCAATCCTGCACAGCCGGCATTAGCTCAATGCAGGGAGCCTCTGGCAGCACACGGCGCACATCATACCCCAGGAAAGCTGTCAAATCATTTGTAGACAGTTTGACTACTTACCTTGGGAGGGCACAATGGCATTCCTAGCACCATAACCACTACAATAAGCTTTAATAGTTATAATGCTAGGAGCGTTCCTTTAAAAAACTGTATAGAAGACTCTGTGTCCATTTCTTGATTAGATTGCCTCCAACATAAACATCAGGGCTGTTAGAGTTTTTGATGTATGGCCCTCCACCCATTGGCAGGCAGTGATCTTTTGTCAGGTGTCCTAATTTGGACGCCCCTAAGCGAGAGAGTACTTTGTTTTTTTACTAAAAAGGAATCAACCCATAACATTAACACCTTTCTCAATGGTACTGTGTCAGGCACATTAGTCTGTAGCTTTTAAGTACTGTCATGAATCTGTACTTCCCCACTCTAATTTCCTTTTCACACGAACCAGGATGACCTATATGTTTGCCTTCTCTATATTTGTTCCTCAAAGGAAAGGACAACCCAAGAAATAGGGGCATTGAGACGGCAAAAGTCAAGAGGTCCTGCTTCCTTAACCTGGGCTTTGATATCGCTTTTCTACCGTACAGACTTGGAACAGATTTGTTTTCTCACATATCATTTCAATTTATTTTTTAAAGATACAAGTACAGATATATGTAAATTGCACACATATACAAATTATATGATAAGGCTTAAAGGAACACTCCAAGTACCAAAACTACTATAGCTCACTATAGTGGTTATGGTGCACACCTCCCCCTACCCTTTTGAGAATGGTTTGACTTATGACCTGGGTTCTGCCAGGTGCCACTTCTGCTTCTACTACTTCCTAAGGAGAGCCAGTAGCTCCTAAGCAAGAAGCAAGGCTAGCTCATTGGCTAAGTGCTTCAACCTATCACTCTCAGCCAATAAGCTGAACCTCATACCGCCGAGCTGAACTCAGATAACGTGTCATTTAATGTGTCCCCTTAATGTAAGAGTGTGCCCGGGGCCTCCTGTCACCATAACAACTTCATTTAGATAAAAGTTGTTGCGGCGTGTCCACTTAATTATTAAAAGTGTTCACAAGGAAGTGCCCCTAGTGGCTGTCTGATTGGCACTCATCCTTAGTGACAAATGTAAACAAAGCCGTATCATTTACGTATGTCAGACACAGTCAATGCACCAAAACCACTTTTAGATGTAGTGGGATGTTTCCTAAGAGTGCGAGCTTTCACAACTACGTCTGCTGCTTCCAGTGGCATATTACTGGTCTGTGAAGCTTACACTTTAATGAAAATAGATATCAAAACAATACTGCAATATTTGGAGACTAGAAATATCTTTAATAAAATTGGAAATGGGATTAATTTATATTAAAACTTAAAGTATATGAAGAGCAATTTCAATAACAGCACTGGGTACCAATGCCTTATTTTACATTTAATATTGATGGTAGAATACAGAATTTATACATTGTGATTCAATGTTAGTGACTGTATGAGACCTCTGACCTGTCCCCAAGCACAGTAGCTCAGTCAGGCTGTACCTGGTCTTGCAGTCGGTATATCTGGAAGCCCATGGATTCTGTGAACAGTTGCCATGGCTCCTGTATAGCTGGATGGTCCAGCTCCCTCCATGCCTCCTGGAAATCCTCCTCACTGAACTTGAGCGCCATCATCCCGGAGCCTTTTCGGCAACACCAGCGGCGACCACACACGTCACGGTCCGAACGCTCCGCAGCCAATCGGCACGCAGCGCTGCGCGACACACCCAATCAGGACGCGGGCAGCGTCTTCTACAGCCAATCAAATTGCAGAAATGACTTCCGGGTTTGTGGCATGCATTGTGTGCCCTTTGCATTGCAGAACATGGAACATCACTCAACATGTGAACCTGCTGACAGGGCTAGAAAGTCTCCATGTAGTGTTTAAAAGCTACACTGGCTCTTTAAGTGTCAAAACCATGAAAAATATAAAATGAAATAATAAAATAAGATTGAGCAATAAAAATTAAAGCATTTAGCCAACTGAAAGGGTATATTATTATTATTATTATTTATATAGCGCCATCAGACTCTGTAGCGCTGTACAATGGGTATATGACATCATTAAATAATTTGTGAGTAACCGGTCAACTGTGACATGAGTTAAAAATTTTATTTTATAATTTTTTTTAAATGTGTGAAATTATATTAAAAAAAACATTTTTTAATGCTGGAGGTATATTTTTCATACTTCCCTTTGTCTTACGGAAGTATAGGCGGGCTTGCCACCAGACAAGAGTCTCAGATTGGACATGAAGGCCTTCAAGTCCTCAGGGGAGTGTAGATGTGTGAAGTGTCGCCGCCTCGGACGGTATACCTCCCAACAATACAAGTGGACAAAGAGGAACACTTTAATTTTAAACGTGGGAGAGGGATTATGAGTATTAGGTGACTTACTAAAAAAAATAACAATTTATTACAATTCTTTATTTGTAGATAGACATGTAAAAACATATAATCACCAGGCATACAGTGGCACGCTTGTGTACCATATTTTCACCAAAGTTTCCCTAGCCAACGTCAGTGATAGAACAGGTTGAAGATCTAAGTGGTACAGTAATAGGTCTTGCGAGCACTAGTCTCTATGCTTGCATTACGTAGGTACTGAAGTGTATAGTGTGCCATCTGATTAACTCACAAATGTAATATTAACAAAAATCACATCAACATATTAACTAACAAAAATACCAAGGTAATAAAAGAAAAATAATATTATTAACGGACTCACCTCGAAACCAGAGGCAGCCTTGCGCAGAGAAAACCCAAAGTAGGAACTGTCTCTCCTAAATAGGGACAGTTGGTAGGTATTGGAGTGAGAACCCATAAGGTCTCAATGATACTTGACCATATGAATGTAAAAGTTTAGTTATCATAGTCTCCTTTTTCCAGAAAAGTGGAAAAAGAACAGGATACTGTGTAGAGAGAGTTTTAGACAAAAGTCATTTTATGGTTTCCATAATATATTTTGCTGTGGTTATCATAGCTGTATCTGCCTTCTGTACCATGAACACTGTCATGGCACTAGCCAGGTTTGTGACAATTGGTACTATCTCATCTCAGCCAATACTTTTGGGTCCCTTTTCCACTGAAGCTAGTTGATTGATGATGCGTTTTTTGGTACTTTGCTAAGTGGTAATGAACAACAGCATAGACATAAAGTTTTATAAGAGTAAACTCGTAAAACAAATCTGTGGAATAGTAAAACAATTGTATTACCTTGTCTGCCCCTAATGAGGTTAATTTTTAGCTGGCAAAATGTAATTATCCAGAACATTTGAAAGTCACCTGTAATATTACATGTATGATTGCAGTTATTTAATAACATGTAATAAGGGCAATGAACTAGTAACCTGTTTTCAATAATTTATGAGTTCCAGTGTTTTGTCAATGAGATTTGTAGGTCGTTCTATCAAACCTATGTTTTGGGTGATAGACTCGGAATATCTCAGTTTTAAAGGGTTAGTCCAACCACCATAACCACTATAGCCCACTGTAGTGGTTATTATGTGAGGAGTATCCTGCCCCCACTTTCCGATAATGGGGCAAACCGTATTCCAATGGTTTGCCTTCTTACATGGATCCCTGTAAAGCAGTTTCACGCCGCCGCTCATTCATTGGTCGAAAGTATCAGCTGACCACTCTTAGCCATTAAATGAGCGTCTATCCTTCGGAATGTGCACATAATTGATATTAGCCACCCAGAATTCTATGTTCGTATGTATTAGCTAGCCCCAATAACTCTACTAGAGGTGGGGTTACAGCAGAGGGGTCAAACTCAGTATGTGCAGCATTTTATTACATGCATGCTCCAGGCACCATAACTACTTCAAATAACTGAATTGTTGTGTTTGGAGTAACGCTTCAAAATGGACCTGTGTCATCTGCTCAGACTTACCAAGTCACTCAATTTCCTGGCATGGCACAGGATTTTAACTTAGTCCTTACCTGACAGAAATGCTCCTTCATCTATTATCAGAAGGATTATAGAAAGTGCAGAGCCAGTGCGTAATTATTTGTGTTTGCACTGTACTTGGAGTGGATTCTAGGGCATTTCTGCCCATACGTGAGCGCTTCCGCAATACTTGGCATAAAGGCTGCTCAGATTTACAGCTCAGTCAGGCAGCCTGTTATCGTGTCGCACATGTATGCTGGGATGGGACAGAGCTTTATGGGAACACATATTATGACACTAATTTAATCACAAAAACACAATATTGTACCTTACGTTTTATTCACTGTAAACCGGTGTTATTTTTGTTTATTTCAAGTTATTTTTGCAGCTGTCACCTCCGACTAAGTCTAAATTTACTTTCACAACGCGTTTGTAATTCAAGAACATTGCCGTATCTTTACAGCGAGCAGTGTTTTGCTTTTATTTCTCTTGGTTTCCAAGGATATAAGGACTGTGTATTGTAAAATCAGCAAACTGGAATTCATTCAATACAGGAAGTCATCAAACTGCCTCGTATGTCATTGAGTTAGTAGAATGATTAGCTCAACATTGAAGAAAAAAAAAACGAACCAAAAAAAACTGCGATTTCCTATAAGCCAATGACTTGACAAGAACTCTGATTATATACATAGCATTAGCTCCAAGCAACATTAAACGGTTTGACTTTATACACTGCGAGGGCACCAGGGCATAACCACACAGCGGGCTGTATGTGGTTATGGTGCTTGCAGTATTCATTTAGCTGTTATTGTACGATAGGCATAAACACCAATAAAAAGCAAATATTCCATTGTCCGAGAGGTCTTTATTACAATGGGTAAGCTAAACATATTGAATGGCTGTCTGGGACATCATTAATTATTATTATTATTATTATTATTTTATTATTTATATAGCGCCATCAGATTCCGTATCGCTGTACAATAGGTGGACTAACAGACATGTAATTGTAACCAGACAACTGGACGTACGGGAACAAAGAGGTGGAGGGCCCTGCTCAATGAGCTTACATTCTAGAGGGAGTGGGATAAGATGTATTTGTTCCAACCAGTGGAACGCAAGATAATTGATGAACCATCATTAGTTACCAGCCACACGTAAAGTGTTCTAAGCTACGTGTGTAGTTTAATATTGAAAAGGGAGCAATAAAACAAGCATGTGTCTTATTTAAAGGGACAATGCCCTGGAATTTGATCATTGCTGCGTGTCAAGCTCAGAATTATCACAATGGATCGCCCTAAAACCCATTTGTCAAAAATAGGCTTAGTTCAACATCTAAGCTCAGCAGTATCATTTGGTATCTGTAACCCTTCTGAGTTAAGCAGGGTTAATGATCAAAGAGTAAATTGTTGAGAATTCAAATTAAATTTTAAATTTTAGGTCGATATAGCCAGACTGGAAAATTGATCAGCTATGTTTTAAGTTTTAAAATTCAAAATTCACTTTTAATCCCCAACAATTCATGCATGATGGTACTAATAAAGAACACTCGGCAAATCCCGCTGTATCACTATAACATTGCGTTGTACATTAGATTTTAACAGTTCATTTGAGAAACGAGAGCACGGCCATAAGTGAATAAAGCTCTTTTTTTTTTCTACGCAAAACATCTAAAACTATGTGGTGCCCAATGGGTTAAGGCTGCCTCTGACGAAACATAGGAAGCACATATGTTGTGACAGTCCGGGTTATGTAATAGCTGTTTGGGAGGATACTGAAACGTTTCCTTAAGGAAACGAGACTTTAATCAAGACTTGTAGATAAGAGGAGCAATCTGTAAGCTCTGATGGAAAGTGAGCTTGAGAGATCACAGAACGAAGTGTACTATTCCTGCAACATGTACTGTGTGTGTAACAGATAGAAAGGAACTCGCAGTACATACAGCGCTTAATCTTTTTACATAATAAATACACTAAATATTACATTAAAAATAAAAAGCTAATGGACCTAAATAACTTACATAAGGAGTTTTTAGGCCAAAAAACATCAAGAAATGTATATAAAATTTAACAAAGAGATATGTTCTGGATTTTTCTTGCTTTCTCTGTTAATACATTAGTAGGTACATTCAAAGATCCTCTTTAATTTTTGGATCTCTGGATTGGCCCTATTGCAACACAGGTTATAATAAGTAATAACCTATACATTTTTACCACACAGGGTTATTCGCAAGTATGATTTGTCAAGAATTCAAATTTTAATCTAAAATAGTCGAATTTATATAATTCTCCAATTCAGTGATGCTCTGATTGCCCTGTTCTGGTTTGTTCTCAGTACTTTGCACTTAAAGGGATTCTCCAAGCATCATAGCCACTACAGACCCTGTACCCTGCCCCAGTTCCCCGATAACGGATGTTTACCTCGGTCTCTTCCGGGCTCCGAGGCTCTAGTCGTCATTCACTGTCTGAGAGCGTCACCTGAGGTTCCTGTGATACCTGGGAGCCTGCTTAGTAAAACAGAAATGAGACTAGTGATGCAAGCACCTCGCAGATGGCCAACTAGGTGTCCACCTATGGGCGATCACTGGACAGCGTGACCACTGATGTTAACAGGAATTAATATAGAATAATTTTCATAATGATTTAGTAACCGCTCACAGATAACTGTAAAGAAAGCTCAGAATATGTGAAAGACTTTCCTAAACAACTTATCAGTAGTGTCACACTGAGATTTCATTATGGGCAGGTTATGAAGGTTCTTATCAGCCCGTACAAGCCATAAAAACATTAAAATATTGTAAACATTAACAAGCCATATGAATGTTGGTACATACAAAACAGAAATTATTAGAGTATTTTATGATTTATTTACAAATCCAGGAATTATAGACAGAAACATGTATGCCAAATTAGCAGAGTTTTAATAAAATTCTGCTCCTCAGCTATTTTGGCATAAAGGTCTCAATTTAATAAATTTGAATAATACGTTTTGGGTTAACATTTAAAATAATTTTCTCTAAATATTAAAAAACACATTATGTAAAAAATATCAAGCTTATCCAAATATATTACATCGAGGCCAAGTTTAGCAGTTGGCTTTCACAGCAGAGGCTACGTCGGACGTCATTGCAAAGGAAGGCCAGACGGAAGCTGCCCTAATGCTTTCCTGGAGAGAGAAGCTAACAAGTTAATAAAACTATTGAGGGGAAGGAAAAAGAAGGGAATACTTATCTGAATAACGAGTGATGGAAAGCTTTAAATGGGGAAATATATCAACCACAACAGCACACCTACTGCAGACCCGATGAACTGCTCTAGAATATATTTTGTGTGTAATTTATCTGACGAGTCTACTGCATTCCTAAATACACGAGTAAAGTTATTTTAACTCGAGGAAAAACACATGCCATTTTTATTTTGCAAATACATGAAGTAAAATTCGCTCAGACTTTTGTGGTTCCTAAAGTTGCTCAATTTAATTTTCGTGAATTTCCTTTACCTTCTGCTAAAGCTTGCTTTGAAAATGAGAAGATCACAACAGTGTTTTTTTCCCCAACAGTGTTTTTTTCCTCAATAAAAATTGGCACTTTTATAAATTAACCTGGTTCCCCCCCCCCGGCTGTCAATCAGACAACTGGACCTGTTACTTCCTGGTTTGGTTAGCTTAGTGGAGCTAAACTCAAGATGTAGCCATTCCTCAGAGCACCTGCCTTGCAAATACTTCTCATTTAGCTGCATTGGTTAGTGTGTGATTGGACAGCCATATAAAGTCTTGGAGGGGCTAGAAGGGGAGGGCTTGCAAAGGTTACAGACAAGAGAACTGCAGGTTTTGCAAGCTGTTTTTAGATATAACCCAAATTAAACAAATGCTAATTAAACTAATTCATTTTTTTCATTTCGCATCTATTTACTAAACAGTGACTATTCTTTTGTTATTCGGGGGCAAGTGATGATGTGTTTATTTAACCGCATACAAACCAACCTTGATCTCTTACGGCACATATTGGAATATGTATAACACAACTTTCAATAAAGGATCACTAACACTATAGCGATCCTTTAATGAAAGTTGGGTGATACATATGTAAACCGACATAGAGTGACAAGTCTGAAACCACGGAGCAACGCAGGGAGGAGTGGGCCTTGACAGAGCCAGGAGTAGGCAGGGTGAAGTTCAGGTCAAGAGGCTGTCCTGTGATTGTGCTGGGGGGCGTGGGTTAGAAGGGAAGTTTAAATAGCGGCCATTTTAGGGTAAGTTCATTCTAACTTGAGCCTTTCTTACCTGTAAATTGTTGCAGGTCGGTTGGGCTCCTCTTTTCTTCTTTTCCAGGTGCAGCATGGCGTCATTAGAAGAACTGCTGTCGGGTCTGCGGTCCATGGTGCAGGAGAAGGGAATGGCGTGGCTACAGGAGCAGCTGGGGGTTCCGAGCACGTCTGCTCCCCCCCATGCGGTGCCGGATCGGAGGCCGGAGAGGAGAGCTAGGCCGCCCCAGCGGCTTAGTCCTGGAGCGGGTCCTGCAGCCAGACGGAGGAGGAGCTCGGCGGGAAGCAGTGCGGCGGCCGGAAAGCAGGGACGTGGAGCGGGTCGTCGGCCGGGACCGCCAGCTAGGCGCAATGCCGGGGCGGTGAGGTTGCAGGCCAGGAGGAGGCCTCCCTTGAAGGGCGCCCCCTGCCGGATGGCGGCGGGCGGGCAGGCGGAGCTGACAGCTGGTGCCGGAATGGAGCAGGACGGAGGGGAGTCGGTTACAAGACCCAGGAGCAGCCCTGGACGTCCCGGTGAGTCGCCCCCTGGGGGCAGCACTGTGGGGCAGGAGGGATTGAGAGGGGCTGGCAGTGGCAGGACAGCGGTCTCACAGGTTGGGGAGAGGGACCAGGTCAGCAGGGCACAGCAGGAGGCGGCTGGAGTTGGAGGCAGGAAGGATAGCGCTGCGGATCCAAGGGATCAGAGGAGCATGGCCAGGAGCTTGGGAAGAAGGGGAGACGGGCACAGCATCGGCAAGTCTGGGGACCCAGGAGACAGGAGGAGTGGCAGTATGGAGCGGAGTGGCAGCAGGCGGGTGACTGGCCAGGAGGACGGCGGCACCCAGGACAGCAGTGGGCGGGAGGCCTCTAGGGGTCGATCCCAGGAGCGGCTCGATAGGAGGAGCGCCAGCAGAGGGAATGGCGGAGGATGGCAGCGCGGAAGGGCAGAATGGCGGGACAGCAGGTCAGGGTCTGCAGGCAGTAGGAGACATGGGAGCGGGAGCCCAGCAGGGAACCGGAGCAATAGGAGGAGGTCAGCTTCTCGGGACAGGTGGCTACGGCGCCGGCGCAGTGAGTCAAGGTCGTCTGAGAGGAACCACACGGCACGGAGGAAGAGAAGTAGCGAGCGGGAGGGACGATGCAGGCAGGGAAGTGGTGAGGATGGGTCTGATCACGGGAATGAAGGGCGGGTGAGGCTGCAGTCGGACAGATCACCCAGGCTGTATTCTCCTTGCAGGTCGTTGAGTAGGACGCCCACGAGAGCAACACACGAACAGGCGGGCAGGAGTCGGCGTCCCCTGGTTCCTTCTGGGTCGGCTGTCGTGGTGGAAAAAGTGGCGCCCCCGCGGCCAGCAGCGGCCGGGGGCTTGAGCGGTGAGTCTCCAACTGCATCACACACAGGAAGCTTACTTGGATGTTTAAGATCTCTGTTAGATTCATGGTCTGCGGACGGGGGGTCTCCGACACAGTTTGAGAAAGTGTGGGTTGCGGACGGCGGTCGGACAGCAGGGGTGAAGGCCGCAGCGTCAGCGGAGCCGAAAGGGGGTCAGGGCGCCGCGGGGACGGGTCAAGGAGCGACGGGTGACGTGGGTGAGCATGTCGTTCTCTGCGGGGAAGTAACGGATGCGGCACGGCAAAATGTGCATGTGTCTTTTGCGGGACCGCTAGGGTGCCACTTAAAGGTGGAGGTTAAGGAGAAAATTTGGAAAGGGGAGTTCGTGGAAATATTTTCCCTAC